AAGAAACGCATTTGACAGCCGAGTAGCCAACAAAGCGGACAGTGAACAGCGACAGGCAACAGGCAACAGGAAAGGGCAGAGCAAAATCAAAACAATTGCCATACAAAAGCGAAACGTGTTTGGAAAATGGTGCCGGGCCGCCAAGCCAGCCCCAATACTTGCCACATGGCAATCCCAACCCCCACCCGACCCCCCCTTCCCGCTTCTTACACAGACCCAGTGTGCGCCGGCCAAGGGGCCGACGATAGAGCGACATGTGCGTTTAATTTGCAAGACACATGTTCGCCTGGACCAACCAGTATATGCCAGTGCACCAGTGCACCAGTACACGGTACACGGTACACAGACGGTACACACTGGGCGAGTGCAGGTAACCGCCAGGTAACCCAGTAACTGGCCTACAATCCATGTTCCCACCAACGCACACTGGTGCCAAAATAAGCTAATCAAAAAATCATTAAGCCGCAAAAAATCAAACAAATATAGAATGTTGATAGTGATGGAAAGAAGCCGTCCATCAGAAGTTTCCATTCCATTGCATAGTAATTTGTTTTTATATGTTTTTTATTATTATTCAAATTTCGATTGATTTTTATAAAAATTATATATACAAATTTAAATATTTTGTACACAATTTTCAATTATCATCCTAGAAAATATGCTTATAATAATTTAGTTAGAAGAATCTATTCTGGCATCTTCCAGGTTTACAACTCTTCTGCCAACAATTTTTTCTTTCTTATGTTGCCTTGTTCTGTATATTTCGAGGAAATTAAACTTCCTTATTAATTAATAAAAAAATAATCCTTAAAGGTATTTTTAAATTCAAGCGAACATAATTTGTTATCTAGTGTTTGATTAATTAGACTCGATCCGACAATTGCACTATTTATGAGCATCTATGGAGCTACTTTCCTGTGCTCTTCAGGCCCCCTTTTAATTGGTTTGCAGCTATATTTTATTGGTATTTGATTGACAAAAATTTCGCCCACTGTGCATTACCATTAGATAGCAGAGCCCAGTCGCAGCGTCTCGCTTGATGTCAACGTAGCCAGTTGCATGTTGCAGTTGCAGTTGCCGTCGCTGTCGCCGCGATTTGTAGCCAAGTCGGAAAATGCATGTTCCCAACAAATGACACCTTCATGTGCACTGCACAGTTACCGCTCCGCGACCCGCACCCCGCGCCGCCGCACAGCCCTCTCATAACTGGTCAGCAGTTGCTGCGCGGCCTCAACATGTTGCCAATTTGGTCGCTTGGCAACGGCCGCTCATTGTTCCAATGGACATTTCAATGCTTCCTCCTGCGCCTTCACTGCCTCCTCCTCCTCCTCATCCTCCAACTGCCCCACCTGCCCCCCCTCCTTCGCCACCTCCACCATGTGCGAAGTTGCATGTTTTTCTAAAAAACTTTTTCGCTGCTGCCTTTTAAGGCCGACACTTTTGCTCATTGCGCCCACCAGGCAACTTTGCCAACGCTGCTCGCCCCCGCCCTGGCAGCTGGCCCGGCTTTTGTCTCCGGCACCTTCAGCTTCTTCTTTTTTGCACACAACGCACTTGGCCAAAACGCGCGCGCGAATTAACCTGTTGCATTTTCCCGGGCCTGTGGCCAGCACAGAGCAAGAGGCCATAGCATTGCCTTATGGCCATTATAATTGCCTCTACGGCGGAGTGAGTGTGTGTGTGTGTGTGTGTGTGTGTGTGTGTGTGCATCTGTGTTAGTATCGAGTACGTGTATCCGTGTTCATTGACAAAAGGAAGCAGCTGCTATGTTCCACTTTAAACAGAAGCAAAACCTTAGGTATTCAATACTCTTAAATGCGAACAAACGTGCTCAGCTTTAATATTCAAACGAATAAACGTACCTTAAAGCTGGGTTTCAAATAAATTTAAATATATTTTAATGGAAACACATGCACAATGTTGATTGGAGGAAAAGCTTAGTCAAGAAATGTTCTGAATCATTTATGAAATGTAATACTTATATAATTCATATATTCATATTGCGATTGAGGATTAGATGATTTGTGGAAAATATAACTTGGATTTGTATGCGTGAAGAGAAAATGTTCGAATCAGGGTAAAAGATGCTTTTGTCAGAGTCTAAAGCAGTAATTGGTTGAAGCATATCCATGATTCAGGGAGCTCCTCTCTGAATCAGAGAAGTTTTAATTTAAGTCACGAACTTTTTCTCAAACTCTATTTAAATATACTTTAATCAACTCATAACAATATCTGCCTTTTATGTAAGGAACTGTGCCGTATCATAAGCCGACTATTTCTCCAATAATTTATCTTAATTGTTATTAAATATTCATTAACTAATTGCTCACGAAGCTCTTGACCGTTGAGCTGATTATAGCCAAGTCCGTTAACCGGTTTTAAATCGAACCGAGTACCGAATTCCAAGTTTTTATCAAACATAAATTTGGTTTATGAATGGGTTTAGAACAGTCTTATATAGTCTTACATATTTTCCAAAAAGTGGTTATTTTCGCATATAAACAGACAGATGGACAGACTTTATGCGGTCGGAGATGTCTCCCTCTATGCGGATCTTTTGAAAGTGTATACAAATTATTGTAAATATTTTAAGTCTATGATAAGTAAAGCATTTTTAGAAATGCGGTCATCCAACTAATGTACCAAAAACCTTTTCTCACATTGTTTTGAACAAAGAACTGAACCAACAGAAAAGTATGTTATGCCTGCGCCTTTTATTCTTACTTTTCACACTTGTTCAAGTCTCATTACTCTTAATTCGAAAATCATACTCTTACCGTGAAGCATTCATGATGGTTTTGTTGGCGTGTATTGCCTTGTTAGTGAGTAATGAATACAAATTTTTCATAGATGTCATCTTGGCCAATTCCAGAAGCATTCACTTCACACTTGATTGAGCATAGCTTGTCGCGGCTTTTTCATATTTTTGCGCACATGTTTGTTAAATAATTAAAATATTTGTGCAGGCTAATGAATTTGTTTACATGATCGAACGGTGCAATTTTTCAGCTCTGTGGAAAATCCAGTATATCTGCGACTGCAAGCGTTTGCTGGCGTTGGAGTTGCAGCTGAAGTTGCAGTTGGAGATGTTGTGTGTGGTGCAGTCCACTGCGGCTCTGCATCGTTGACTCGGGCGTCCATTTGAATTCGAAGTGAAAAAAAAAAAGAAAAACGTTTAAATCACACTGCAAAAAAATGTGGACAGCAAACCGGTTTCGTTGGCCACAGCAAGTGCGAGTGGAACAGCAAATGCTGAGCGCAAGCGCGAAACAAATGTCAGAGGCAGCGAACATCAATCTCCAGCTCCAGCTCCAGCTACAGCTCCAGCTCGAGCTTGAGCTCTAGCTCCGGCTGCAGCCACATGGCCAGCCGGCATGGCCACATGGCAACGGCAACCATTTGGTCTTTTGGCTCTTGGCTTTGGGTGTGCAACGAGTTCTTTGGTGGCCACAAAAGGAAAAGCGACGCTGCCCGCGGCAGAGGACGGGGCAATGATGGAAAACCGGCTAAAAGGTGGCCAAATGCGTTTATTTTTTATTTTTTGCTGCTTTTATTGTAGTAGTTGTTGTGCTTGTTGTTGGCTGACGTTGAGAAACTACAGTTGGGTTCATAACCTCATTTCAAATTGGCAAACAGGTGCGACACAGATCCCCAGCAAATCTGACTGGGACGTAAACAGTTCGCAGAGACTGTTGAAACAAGAGCGCAAGTACTGTAGAAAGCTGCTTGTTGTGCAAATAAAATACTTAGGTTTTAAGAAATGATTGATATTAAATGGTATTTAAGCCCACGTCCATGTACAGAACACACAAATTAACGTTAAGGATTTAAATAAAAGAGACGAAAAGTACTGAAAATTTCATTGAAAAAAATAGAAGTTACAACAACGATGGGGTGTTGTTTTTTCTTTTTTTAATATCACGTTTGATTTTAATTTTTTTAGTTTTGTTTTATATAGAACCGTAATTCATCACGTTGCATATCACAATCTGTCGAAAGTTGTTCTCATTAAATGCCGTATGTTTTTATGCTTTAGACCTCGACTAAATTGCACCTGTCATGCAATCGAAATTGTGACCAGCCCCACTTCATCCCCCAGCTGTCTGGGCAATGCAGCCAATGCTATTGCTATATCCATCAGCAGACCCACCACTAATATTGAGTACTCGATATTCGATATTCGATGCCCGGTGACCATGCAGCTCGCAATTCATGACATGAGTTCAATTTGTGACAATTATTGTTGCAACATTTCAAATCGTTGCATTTGCATTCGGCCTCCGGCGGCCTCCGACAGTTGTGCGATTTTTATCGTTTTTCATTCGATTTCATTTTTTTTATTAATATTACTTTTTTGCTGTTATATTTGTTAATGTTGTTGTTGTTGTTGCTGCTGCTGATGCCGTTCTATATAAAACACATGCCACATATGCAAATGGTCTAGCTGCCGTGTGGCTGCAATTCATATTGTTCTTGTTGTACTTATTGTTGTTGCTGCTGCTGCTGCTGCTGTTGCGGCGCTTTTTTATTGAAAATTAATTGTTGTGCATTTTTCAAGCACAAGCGCATTAAAATTGGGCGTTGACTAATAATTGCATTTTTATTTAATTTCATTTTATTTGCCGCATACTTTTTGTTATTGAAGCCATAATAAAATTGATACCATTTTATTAGATGCTGAGCAATCAGACAAATATGTTAGTGCTTAAATGCTTTCAATGCTATTAATTGATGTCTAGTCCGCATAAAGATATTACGATTTACGATTATTTAAATCGTTTTGTGAACTTGTGTTTCCGTTAGACAACATAAAGACATTATATTTTGGCAAAAAAAAATCGAATGTATTTAAGCTATATTTTCCTTATAAGGCATCCCATGTTATCAAATTGATTTTGCCCTCAACAGTTGCTTTTATTCTATAATTCATCACTTAGTTTTCTAATTTTTGACATTATTTTGAGATCAACAAGTTAGTTTTGCTCCTACTTTCGTCAATGTTATCAGAAGGGAACAATTTTTGGGGAGAGAAAGTGAATTTTTAAAGGGCTTTGAATAGAGTTTTTTTCAAGAACTACAGGAATCTATTTTGCTACTTCATTTTCCCAAATTATTGATAAATTAATATATTTTTTCCGTACTTGATGTTAAGCCAGTTAAATGAGCATAATTTGATCTTATTACAAATATTGTAAATTAGCGGGTTATACGTGATATTTCGATGATTATAATTAAATACATTATTTGACTGTAATTCGTATTGTGAGTGTGTGTGCTTGTGTGTGTGTGTGCTTTCTGGATGAATATGCAAATATTTGGACGCCTTTTGGACGTAAGTGGCCCCGATAATAAAGTGGCACATGTTGGCAGCCTCGGTCGAACCAATAAAATGGGTAATTATGAAAGCCTTATGATTTTCTAAACTCACAGTAAATATTGCAAGCGGAAGGCGATCATAAAACGTAATCACCCGCAATATAAACACAGGCGTAAAATTGTTGAGTTAATTAAATGTCCAAAATGAAAATCAAGCGAATACTTGCGAAACTCTCGGGGTCTCCCAGGCGGAGTCTCCGGTTACACATCACACAGATCTTGGGCAAATATCAGCTGTGCCTAATTGGAAGCCCGTTCACCGATCGACCCAACCACCAAACCACCAATCCACCTGGTCTCTGTGTGCACCGTCGCCGTCGTGGCGATAGCGATAGTTCATTTCTTAATTGTTCAGCCGTTGCCGCCGCTACCGCCACCGCCACTGCCGGCACAGACAAACAATAATTGCGTTCGTGCTGAAGATAAAAATGTATCCGGTAGATAAATGCCAGGCCAGGCAAATTGTTTGCTCTTTTAACAAAAATGCGGCCAGCACCAGCATTTGTGGTGGGGCATCCAAAAAAGAATTTCACAAACAAATAACAAAATTTATTAACTCTTGAGTTCAAAAGAATTGCTGCGCATTTCCTCAATTCCTTTGACAATTAATATGTATTACATATAACACAATCGTTCCTCTGCCTCTGCCCGCCCTGTCGCACTTGTTTCACTTCATAAGCAATCATCACACTCCAGATCTGCTTAGTTTCCTTTGAATCCCTTTCGGGGCCTCGTAACTCTCGGCAAGATCAAAGGCCGGGCGGCGACAAACCAATCCAAACTAATTCGAAATTCAATTTGAATTCGAATACGGTTTTTATACACTTCTCGAGGGTAAAGGGATTTTTTCAAGATGTATGTAACACATAGAAGGAGACATTTCCGAATTCTTAAAACCTTCATATATATTTCTGAGCGTTCAATGGAAAACCTCCTTTCCTGACAACTTGACTTTACTATTTCCCATACCAATCTGCAATGCCATATCAAGTCGAACTACTATATTCTATGGCTTCTATAGAAACAATTGGTCAAAAGTAGAGCTATTGTATAGACGTCGCCAAACCATTTTTTCCACAAGAGTATTTAATCTTCGGTTAGCTACCCCTTCTTCAAATCTTCTATCTGTGCTGTTTCCCTCTGCAATTAAGGCACTTGAAATTGAAGCTAGATTTGTCACTGTTTAGTCTGGAGTCCGTCTGCCATGGACCGGGCGTTGAGTACTCGACAAAGTGTTGGCTAATCGCTTGCTGATAACGAGTAGCTGACAAATTCCCACAGTTTTCCAAGCGCCAGCACTTGAGACATCTATCCTAGCGGGCGCTCTAAACTAATTCTCTCGACTTTGGTGATCAATCGAATTTTTAACAACAGCGTTTGGGCTTGGTTTTTTCAACAGTTTTTGCATAAGCCCAAACTAAGGCACAATTATTAAAAACATTTTCTCACATTTTCGACACAACATATATACAATATATATGTATATAGTTGACGGCCACTCCCCTATACTACGCCCAGCTAGTCCATTGGTCTATTGCAACATGCGCAACACGTCAAAAATGTTTGTTGTTGTTGTTGTTATTGTTTATTTTATGACTTTGGGGAATTATGTAGCACGTCCAATGCTAAATATGTTCAAAAAATCTCTAGCACGACAAGTAACATGCATCAAACTGCCTCCAACGACAAACGAATGCCATAAAATCAAAGCGTCCAAGAAGGCGGCGATCCAGAGGAGCTCGAGTCTGCTCCATGCTCCGGGGAGAGGGTGTGCAGGGAATATCAGAGGTAGCGCATTTTAAATGCACAAACAACAACAACAACAACCACAACAAGAACGACTAAAAAACAACGGCCCCAGCCTCAAAGGCAACCTGTTGCATAAAACGCACACAAACAGAAAAAAATCTTTTAAAATGCATTTCATTATGTAGGCAAAAGCCAGGCGACAAAATTGTCATCAACGGGTATGATAAACGATTAAGTTTATAGTGTTTTTTCTCTCATTTATGATATTGCTCCCATTGTTTATCTGATATTTCTCCCTTTGAAATTTTGACAGATATAGGCTGAGCATTGGATTCATAATAATAAATATATCATACTTTCTATGTGAAGAATTATAATTGTTTCACACAAATTACAGCATCATTCAGAAGGAGAGCAGATTAAAATTCTACATAAAACAAGGTTTTTTAATTTAAATTTTAAACCTGAAAACTGGGATTTTAAATTATCTTAAAATATTCATATTAATATAAAATATTACCTATTATTATTTATATATTTCAATATTAATATTAATTATTTTCCTTTCATAACTTATATGAAAATTTTTATTCTTGAGTTCCTTTAACAAATATCTGTTTGTAGACACTATTTTTTAATGGTTACGTTAGCGTAGCTCTTGATCATGATATCATATTATCTCATGGTCCAAAAATATATATAGTTTTCAATAATATTTATTTCTCTTTTAAATTGCACCCTATTTTTGCTGCCCCATTTCGTATGTGACATTTTTGCGTGGTGTCTGCTCACACACACACAATTACAGTATTTATAGAGTCGCACGCAGCTCACATTAAGCAGCCCAAGAACCATTTGCACTTTAGCCTTGCCGGAGCAGGCAGATGCTTCCACCACGACACCGCCGTCTGCGGTTCCAGACCCAAACCCAAACCCAATCCCAACACCGATTCCAAACCCTGCGTGGAAAGTTGAGGCTGTGGTCGCATTGTCCGAATCAATTGTGGGAAACGCACAGAAATAATCTCGAGATTGTGTGCGTCTGTCGCTTGTGTGTGTGTGTGTGTGTGGGTGGGTGGCATTGCCCCCGCGCGATGTTTGTTGCTGTCAATTAATGCGCAGCGGCCGCAGGAACTGGAACTGGAACTTGTTGCACATTGCACGTTGCACGTTGCACGTTGCACGTTGCACAAGTTGCAGTTGCAGTTGCAGTTGACTGCAAAATTGCATTGTACGCTTTGGCTCGCTGTCGCTCTGCCCGTTGGCTGTGCCAGTTTTTTTCGTCGTCGTCGTCGCCGTGTGGCGTTTTTGACACTTGCCGCGGCTGCCTTTTTAGCCAGTTTCAGTTCAGCTATAGCCACAGTCCCTGTATCTGTCCCTCTTCCAGTCCCTGTCGGTGTCAAACCGTCTGCCCTGCCCCGTTCCGGCTGTGCCGAGCCGTGCCTGTGCCTTCCGCTTCAAGTGCACATGGATCAGGGGCACATCGACAGCTTCGCGATAGCCATTGTCTGCAGTTGCTGGCCAACTTTACAGCGGTAACTAACTGGCCTGGCACTGGGCAGGGTATCGCATTGTGACTCCTCGTATAATAAATTGACAGTCCCAGCTCGACGGTGAGTGCATAAATGAATGAATGCCCAAATGACGCGCTCCAGTTGTTTCACTGGCCACGCCTCCCACACAGCCTAGCTCCGACTTGCAGATACATTTGTATCTGCAGAGCGCGTGCTTCTCCCGGCAGATTAATTAGACTTTAATATTGTATTTACACTCAAAGACTGCTTAATTTGTGACCTTTTGCTTCGACATCATAAAAATATGAGCAGAAAACATGTTTCTAGCATTTATTTTATATTTTCCTGGACAGCATTATAATTTCGATCCATAGAAATCCGAAATGTGGATCGATATTAAAGAGCCTTTATTAGAAAGGCTTTGCTGTATTATTGAAAATCAATTGCGTGTTCTTTGCAGCGCGTCGTCGCAAAAAATCTTTAAGCTTTTATTAATAATTAAATCCAAAAGGTATAAAAATAGTATGAAAAGAAGTTATAGACGCCAGTGGCAAATATTCATTTAGCATGATCGCAATGTATCTGTCAGGCGAAACAGGCGCGGGGGCGCATCCGCGTGCATCATTCTCCTCATGGGCAATCAGAGCAGACGCAGAAGGCAATGTCGGAGATTGCAAATTTATGTGTGCAACGCCAAACGCTGCTTCGCGAAGCTGCAACAAGTCCAGGACTTGACGACTGATGCTGCAACTGCCCCTGAGAGATGCACTGCCTCCCACTGTGCATCTTTGGCGCTTCTTGTGCTGGCCGGCCGCTTGCTGCGTGCCTGTGCCACGGCAAAGGTGGCAATGATGGCAGCAGTTGCTCAACTGTCAAGTTCTTGTTGTTGTTGCTGTTGCTGTTGTTCTTGCTGTTGCTGCGCGTTGATTCGTCGTAATTCATGCGAAGCAAACCACGTCACGTAGTCCCAGCACAACAAGTGGCCAGCATTTTGAAAAGTATCTGTATCTGTAGCTGAAGTATCTCAAACTGTGTGTGTGTGTGTGTGTGTGTGTGTGTGTGTGTGTGTGTGTGTGTGTGTTTGGGTGTGCGTGCAGCTTCCATGTTTATGGCTGCCACTGACGTTGACGACGAAGACCCCGACGAAGACGAAAATGAAAACGAAGACGCGGACGCGGACGCAGATGATAATGATGTGTTGCCGCCGAGCGTAGCTGCCCCTGCAACATCAACAACAACAGCAACAGCAACAACAACAACAACAGCAACCCGAATGCTGCCACATTTTGATTGCGTGTCCGTGTGGACTCGAGTGGATGCCACTGCAATGTGGCATGGAGTTCGAACTGCAGCCGTGGAGACTACCTGCGCATCAATCGGCCATAAATTAGCATTTGAGTAAATTGGTTAAATTCGTTATTCGGAATTAGGATCCAATGAGCTGACGTTGCAGCAGCCCGCTGTTTATGCCACATCATGCCCTCTCCCTCTCTCGCTCTCACACCGTCTCCCCCTCTCACTCTCTAGCTGGCCATCTCTTTTCGTTGACTCTGATTCGGCCAATAACTCGCCGCTACATGTGAGCAGCTCCCCGTGGCCAGTGGCTCAGCGCGAACTTGTTTATTTTGAATTTTTTATGTTTAATTTCGTGTTATTGATTGATTTATTTTTATTGTGCACTTCTTAATGGAGAAAATGTTTGGCTTTTCGATTCGCTTGAGTCTGTAGTTTTTTTCCCCCCCATTTTATTTTGCAGCACTGTGAAAAATTACCGCAATTAATGAAGTCGTGAAGGCTTCTTTGGCAGCTCTCGCTGTTGTTTTTTTTTTTCTCTTTTCTTTGGGCCAAGCAAAACGAAGCAGCTAAGTGGCAACTCAATTGACTAAATGAAAGACATCAATAAGCTGCATTATAATTGCGTTGAAAGTAATCCTTTTTCCTAAGAATTGTTTATTCCTCATTATTCACATTTCTACGCCATATTCTGTTTAATAAATCTGAATTTTATATTATTTTAAGTGTTCAGGTATTATATACACATTCTATTTGTATTTTCTAATAGTTGCAATCTAAAAATGTGTAAAATGCAAAATGAAGCAATATTTTTTAATTCAGGCTATAAAAAAAAATAACTAAAGACCCAATAAAATCTTGCTGATTCAATAATATTCTTAAAACTATTCCTATTAATATAAACAAATTATTATATTATACTTAGCTTAATAGATAGATACGTAGACACATTTGAATATATGTAACATTCGTATGTATGCCCCGAAAATTTCATAAAGATCGGACAATAAAGTCCGACGTTACCCAAGAAAACATTA